AGATATCTACAAACAGAGTCGATATTTTTCTAAGACCATTTAGTGCTTCACATAATAAAATACACAACGGCTATAGCCCGATTATATGCTTTAGGAGCTGTAGATGTGTTTGGTGTAGGTGTGTGTGGTACAGTGTGTGCGTAGATGCAGCGGACAGACAGGTCTCAGTTGGTTTGGTGTCCTCTGCCTACTTTGAATACTTGTAAATAAAACTTTTGGCCCGTAATTTATTTTCCTCATTGTAGCGACCAGAGAGGTCCAGTCTCTGATAGTTTTACAAGCTGGCTCTGCTTGTAACATAAGGACAACAGTTCCACACAGAAGTTGCCCAAAACAATCATTTATTTTAACTAACAGTGTCTACAACCAACAATAAAACAAACAGAAGAGCGGTGTCCTGCTGCACCGAGCAGGGCAGCTGAGAGAGAGCGAGAGCCTGTTCTGCAGCCCTCTTATATCCTGGAATCAAGGGCCACAGGTGAGTCCCATCACTGCTGATTACAAGAAACACACAGGTTACAGCAGCACCACCTGATGGACAACCACAGGGTTGTCACACTCTCTCCCCTAGCTAACTGCCTACCCAATACTAGCTATCTTGTCTCACCCTAGTCTTCATGCATGCCACGACAGGTGTTTTAAACACTTACCCAATGACCCGGTAAAGCCCCAGCGAAGCTGTTACTCACCAAGACAGCCACGGACGTGTACCCATGACAAAAAAATGTCGAATCATGTTTATGCACAAAAATAACAAACAAAAACAACAAGCTCCCCTGAAGGAGATGCTGCTTATGCCTATCAGGAAAGGTAATTCCAAAGCTACTCCTTAATGCCCCACACCAGGAACAAACTGTCTAATAATCAAGGCAGACAAATCAAGTCAACACATATCACCTGATTCTTGGATCGGACGAGCCCCCATATGTTACAAGCTGGCTCTGCTTGTAACATAAGGACAACAGTTCCAAACAGGAGTTGCCCAAAACAATCATTTATTTGAACTAACAGTGTCTACAACCAACAATAAAACAAACAGAAGAGCGGTGTCCAGCTGCACCGAGCAGGACAGCTGAGAGAGAGCGAGAGCCTGTTCTGCAGCCCTCTTATATCCTGGAATCAAGGGCCACAGGTGAGTCCCATCACTGCTGATTACAAGAAACACACAGGTTAGAGCAGCACCACCTGATGGACAACCACAAGGTTGTGACATACGTTATTATGAGAGTGCTCTCATACTTGTTTGATTCTGAAATTATTATTATTAATATGTGTGTGTGTGTGTGTCCGCATCTGTAGCCTGTTGTTGTCTCATTATACCGCACTGTGAATTAATTAAAAGTAAATATATAAGTCGTCATGAACACATCTGTCCATCAGACAGAGGGCTGCTGTGCCTCCTGTCATCATTAATGGACGTCCCTTTAAAATGACCGCTCAGAGGAGAGGAGTTCTCATTTCTCTAACCGCCTGCTGCTTCCCCTCCTCTCTCCTCGGTTCCCCCCTCGGCTCCTCCGCTCGCATCTCCTGTGGGCGGGACTAAGTCTCGAGGATAGGAGTCGAGGAGGGGAGTCGAGGAGGGGAGTTAGAGAAAGGAGAAAGGGCCCATGAGTGCAGAGACGCTGTGTGGACAAACAGCTTTTCACTTTCAGGAGTGATAGCCGGTTTGTTTTGACTGGCTCTTGGTTTGGTTTACAGTACATGAACTGCTTCGCGGTGCTTATCCATTGCATGTCTATTGACGTACTGTTTCAAACTGTGTTGACACAGGCAGTTAAGACCATTGATTATGCATACTGCTGTTAATCATACTAAGATGTCATAACAGCCTGTTCATGCATGCTTTAATATATGGCTTGGCTTATTGAGTAGTCATAAAGTCTGCTTATTGATGCTGGTAATCAGTGTCGTCAAATAGCATGTCAACCATAGCTGGGGGCTTGTGACCAAATATTTCACAGATTTGTGGTTTAAGTGTGACCAGCGGTGCTGGCAAAGAGGCCAGATTAAGAGAGGATCAGTGGGTGTGTCAGGAGCTGGCATCAGCCGAAACATGAACTTTTCAACCTTTTAAAATCCGTCTGCCTCCTTCCAGTTAAATGCAAAAGATTGGCCAGCCCCGAAAATACCAAATGACTGCAAGCAGGAAAGAATCCACATGCTCCAAAAATATTACTTCCTGAATAGCAGAAGTAAATCTGCAATGGCACAGAAAATGTCTAATAAATATTTCTCTAAATGATTCAACTGTTAAGGTGCCTCAAATATCTTACAGCTAGCCTATTTCTTTAAAAAGATGCAGCGTTAGTCAGAGCCAGGCTGTCTGTTCTCAACAGTTTCCAGTCTCTGTGCTTACCTAACTGGCTAATAATGGTAGCTTTATATTTAGGCTTCGATAAAAACCATCCTCTTATATCTATGCAATTAAGTGAGAAAAAGTTATTCCGCTAAATGTCAAAGTAACTCCTTTTAAGCGTTACTCTATCAGGACAGTGGGTCTAGTTGTTTTCACTATCCCAAAGGCTAAACTGACCATAATAAACAAACCAAACAGTGTAGATTGCAGGTGAGCCCCTCATCCCATGTGCTTACTGTATATATTAACTAACCAGAAGAGGGATTTGAGATTTCAATCTCAACGTGCAGGCCTGCTGATGCCAGCTGATGCCAGCTGTCTTCAAGGCCACAGTTCGTGTGTATATGTCTTTTGAAAACAAAGATCTGTCTCACTTAGAAACAGAGGAATTATGAATCATTTTCAAACCGAGGAAGCTGTTGTTTCAATGTTCAAAGAAGCAACCTTTGCCTCCTCTTTATAATTTAGAGTGGTTACTCCCATATCTCCTCCATACAATTCCGAGATGTAGTCTCCCTAACCGTGATGGGTGTATTTCTCAGAAGAGTCTCTACAGAGAGGAGTGTGAGCCAGTGGCAGACAGCTGTTGACAGTTTCCAGATGTGAATGTGTGTAACTATGAAGGTGGTGTAGTGCAGCAGTAAAAAGAGAATGTATGCTTAGGAGACCATTTAGAAAAATAAGTTATTAAACACACAGAATATACAGCCTCACAGGAAATGTAAAAATAAATTGACTTTAATGACGTTTAAAAGAATTTACAAACACTGCTGAAGTGTCCAAGGTAAGCACATCCACCATGGTGTTTTCAGAAAAATATCATGAATTTGAAATGCTCCATCATAACATCGGCCCAAAAGTTTTTTTCTAGGATACTCACAGTGGTTTTTCCCAGACAGAGGTCTATGAGATCTATGAGATCTATTCTCTCAGCAAGTGAAGCCTGCTGTTGCGGAGATAGCTGTGGCTGATGAATGAAAAAGATCATCTAACCTGACAGGAAATGCTTATATAACGTTATGATATCGTAACTTACTTATAATTCGATCTGTTGCAGGATGTCCATTGATGATTCTCAAGTTTTAGGTTGCAGACTTTTGGGAGATTAGGCACATCTTGACGTATCTTCCAGCCAAACACAACTTTTAAAGCGATACATATAAAAGCTCATGCCAGTGATGGTCAGGACTTTACATTTTTCTGCTTTTCCTGCTGCCAGCTTTCTTTAAAAGCCCTTCAGTATCATCTCACATTCTGTAAAACAGTTCAGAGAGAGGGTCTTAATGTGGAGACGAGAGGGCTTGTTCTTTTGTAGCAGAGCAGGCTTTGCCATTTTTTCAGCTAATTAAGTATAGTACAAATTCATTGGATGCAAAGTCCCCACTGTGTCCCTAAATCTCAAACCTGGAACTTTCATTGCGTATTTAACCGACGTAAGGTTTTAGGCATTACGTTTTTACTCACAGTGCATAGTCACACCCAGCACATTTATTATTCCCTCCCCTTTTATGGCACTTTGGTCCAGTTCATTAGGAAGTCAAGCTTGGTGACAACATTCTAATCATCCTGGGAAAGTGTTTAAACGGATAAACATGTGTGTCTTAGTTCGGCATCCTCTGGATACTCTATATATTTGAGTGTCAGTCTTTATCCTGCAACATATGTTTTGTTTTAACTTTTGTATTGCCAGTGTCATGAAAACTAGGGATAGATATAATTGGATAGAATTGGTCACACATGCATTAATGGTCACACATGCAGAGCACACAGCACACACAGTGAAATTTGGCCTCTGCTTTTAACCCATCCTAGTACCAGGAGTCTAGTACTAGGAGCAGTGGGCAGCTAGTGTACAGCGCCCGGGGGGTTGAAGTTTGTAGGAGTTGCACATCAGTTGTTTGTGTGTGCACGCATGCGTGTTTGGAGATGCTGAGGACAGACAGATGTTCTCCAGCAGCTATATTCTGTTAAACCCCCTCTTTAGTGAGCTCCTAAATCAGCCTGTAAATGAGCTGAGAGACAGGTGTTTATATGTTATCCTCACAGCATGCATCAGAGGATAGGGAGGAGAAGTAAAAGATGTAGAGAAGAGGAGGGATGAGGGGAGTACAACAGTTGTCTGTCCATTAACGTTCATCAGCCATCCCACAGGACTTAAAAAGAGATTAGCTCGGTCCCAGTGCTGACCATGTGTGAGGTTTATCAATAAATGTGCGTCATCATCACGTGTGGATCACCGCGTGTGGAGGAATGCCCTGACACCCGCAGAACACATGGTTTTTGTTAAATTGCAGTCCGATTGGAAAAATATAAATACAGTGACTTATCTGATACCACAAGGAAAATAAAATGCGAAACCAGCACTGCTCCCACAGCTGGAGACAAATGAAAGGTGTTCACACATGTGTTGTTGGGGTCAACCTGCTGCCACTCAGTGTAAACAGAACAAGTCAGGGTGCATGGCTGCTGGTGTCTGAGTGAATGGGACATTGGGGGAGAAAAATCTGATAACATTCTTCAGGGGGGAAAGGGAACTCGCGATCCTATTGGATACATTTGTTGGCAGCGAGACAGACCTGTGTGTAGTTGTGATTGTGGAGCTGCTCTAGGCACTGGCAATTAAGAGCTAGTTTTTTTTTTTCCTGCAAAAACAAGGCGTGCTGAAGCCTTCACAGCATTAGGGCAGACGATCAGGAACAAATTATGGTTGTTAGATGTCTCAGGGGTCAGGAGTGGGGAGGTCAAAGGTCAGATTCTAGCGGAGACAGTGCTAATGAGGCCATTCATTAAGCATTAAGTATTGCACAGCTGTTCTGAACATGTGTCAACCTCCTGTTGTTGTTTGGATCTCTAAAAGTATGTCAACTCCTACAACTGTGATGTACCACTCCCTACTCCTCATCACGTTGTTGCTTCTCTGAGCTAAAAGGAACCATATAAGGTACAGAATCAAGCCTTTGATGTGCGAGTGGATGTAAGTGTGCCAGTGCATGTGATACCATAATTATAATACATTCTACAAAGCTTGGCAGGATCGCAGTCCCACACGGGGAATTAAATATGTCTCCTATGATAGGAATCCAAATTAAATTGTCTATTGTTTTCTTACTTACTGTTGTGTTTGGGAATTGTTTATAGGTATCATTTGTTTTAATTTGTTCCATATTGTTTTTTCCCTGAGCTAAATGGCTGTGTGTGTTCTGTGGTAGTTTTAAACCAAGTCTTTGTTGTATGTATAAGGAAAGACTAGAAGTGAGATATTTAATCAGAGCCTTTACTTAAGAAAAAGGCAGGGTACTATACTCTAACCGTGACAAGTAAAAGTACTGCATTCAAAACTTTTTGTAAAGAAAAGTATGTTTCAAATATCAGCAAAATGGAAATGTACTAGTAGTCCTCCTGCAGGCTGAACCACCTACATCTGTGTTACTTTTATAAAAGGTGTTAAATATGTACAACAACAGTCAGCAGCAGTAAGGAGTGTAGTTGTATTTGCAGAGTGTGCTCCGTCGCACTTGTAGTAGATGCAGTACACCTCATCCTCACTGCAGCAAGGTGAGAGGTTAGACAACTGGAGGTCAGAATAACAACCGTTAGAGCTGCTGTAAAGTTACTATTTGTTGCAGGCAGTGGGTTAAACTAATTTAACATTTTTCTGTGGAGTCTTGATATGCATCACATTTCAAAACCCAGCAAAGAGATGTAGAAAGACGCATTGAATTAAAATACTCAAACCTGCATTCATCCCTTCTTTTGTTATTTGGGCTAATTTTTCAATGTTTTCTGTCAACCAGAGAAATACACATCTAACAGTAGCTGCTCCATGTTCTCCGACTAGTTACTAATCACTAACTTTATCCTTATGCGGATTGGCACTGGGTAGGTAGTGTCCCTTCGGTTTGTCAAAACTCCTAGCTTTCTGTTGCCAAAATCAACACTAATGAGAGCATCGAGACTAAATCAAAATAAGAAACGCAAAAATAAAATGATGCCAAATCCTGTGTAGATTTGAGGTAAAATAGAATGTAAAAACCTTTATTGGTGAAAGTTTAAGAATAAGTTAGGATTATACTTAAAAAATTAGTATTGGAGTCATTGCACTTTTCCAATAGAAAGAGTTAAAAAGGTTTGTCTCTGTTCCTAAACTAAAACGTATAACTTCAGCATACTTTCACCTTCAGTTCTGTAGGATAAAGAACACAAGTGATGCCAATGTCTCCGTTAACCACATTATGTCCTCACATGGGAGCTGCTGACATAGTTTACCCACCTGCTCTTCACAACTGCTGCCAATAAGCTGCACACAGCCACTATCAGATGCTGTCATTCATGAGCATCAACTCACATTAGCCCCAGCAGCAATGATGTTCAGTTCTCCTTTCTCTGTCTCCCTACAGTCATCAGGCACCACTGTGATGGTGGACATAGCAGTGATGGGAGAGGCCCACGGGCTGATCTCAGACCTGCTGGCTGACCCCTCTCTGCCCCCCAACACCTGCACCTCGCTGCGGGCCGTCAGCAACCTGCTCACCACCCAGCTCACCTTCCAGCCGCTGCACCGGCCGCGCCCTGCTCCCCTGCTCAACCCCAGCGATTCCTACACCTTCTCCGACTCAGAGGAGGGACCGGAGAAAGAAGGGAAAACGTCCATCCATAAGGTAAGGACATGCATTTCAAACTCAGAACTCCTCCAATAGATACGACATGCTGCGTGAACATACATCATGTGAGCAATTCCTCATGCTCATACTGTGAACCTTGCTCTGTATATTTTTCACACTTCTGTTCAATTGTACCCTGTTTGAAGCTGCACAGCTCTTTCACTTGATATTCTGATTACTATATATGTCTTATTATTAAGTTAGTAGTAATATTTGTGCTGTAACTAGTTAGTATTTTGTAAAGATTTCTTGCAAACACGTCCTCTTTTTTTCACAGTTGCACTTCAATAAATACAGTTCTAAAATCTGTTTAATCTTTTTACATCTTAAATGCGCCATTATACACCAAAGCACATTTCTTGTGATTCTGAAGTGAAGAGGAAGTGTCATGATTTACATTTCACTGGTAGGACATAGTTGTCACCCAGATTTATTTAAAAATGTCACCAGGAGAATGTTCTCCGATTACAAGACTGAGTAAGTGCATTGAGCACATCAATGACTGTTTCTCCAATTGAACAAACAGAAAACTGAGATTATTGTTTTTGGAGCGAACGATTAAAAGTCATCGCAGAGCTTCAGTCGGCAGACTTCAAAACAACGAATAAAGCTAGAACTCTAGGTGTAGTCATGGACTCAGACCTGAAATGTAACAGTCACATTACAACAGTTGTTAAGTCTGCATACTATCACCTTAAGAACATATCTAGGATTAAAAGACTAATGTCACAGCAGGATTTGGAAAAGCTTGTCCATGCTTTTATGTTCAGTAGACTGGACTACTGTAATGGTGTCTTCACAGGTCTCACAAAAAAATCCATTAGAAAGCTGCAGCTGATTCAGAACGCTGCTGCTCGAGTCCTCACTGACACTAAGAAAGTGGATCACATCAGTCCAGTTCTGAAGTCTTTACACTGGCTTCCAGTCTACCAAAGAATTGATTTGACCACGAAATGGTTTAGGACCAAATGATATTAGCGATCTCCTGCAAAAGTATGTACCATCCAGGAGTTCTGACTCTGTTACAAGAGTCAGAACTAAACATGGAGAAGCAGCATCTGGAACAAACTCCCTGAATCCTGCAGGTCAGCTGCAACTGCTAATACTTTTAAATCGAGATTAAAAACGTATCTTTTTGACGCTGCATTTGGATGAGTTGTTCAAATTCAAACTGCAGTTTGGCTTTTATTCATGTATGTCATACCTGTTGTGTTTATTTTATTATCTTTGCTTTTTAAAATGCCTGTTTTTAAAAGCCTTTTTATAATGTGCTTCCACTGTATTTATTCTTAAATGTCTTTTATTTCATTTTGTAAAGCACTTTGGGTTGCCGTGTGCTGAAAGGTGCTGTATAAATAAACTTGCCTTTCCTTGCCTAGTTGCTAGGAAGGAATCTTACCCAAATATAAAAAGTCAGAATTGTTCATACAGAGTAGTCTTTTTTTTTTTTAAGAAACAGCTGAAATAATCGTAAAGTAAAAAGTGAATTCTACTTTATTAAGGACAAATGATTTACACAGCCCTCCACACACATGTTAATCTTTCAGCCCGTGTTTCATCTAATGAGTGCTTCCTGCTCTCAGAGCTTTTAGCATCAAATAAAGGAGTGTATTTTCATAGAGTTGAGTGAAGAAAAATAGAGCGCCTCTACTGCTCCGAGCCCTGTTCTCCCTTTCATAGCCACAGCTGTGTCAACATGACAGATGTGAGGAGCCAGACAGAGTGTATGAGCGTGTGTGTGTGAGTGTGTGTCGTGTAAAAGAGGAGACACATCTCTCAAAAGGTTACAAAGACGGACGAGTAGTAAGTGTCAACAACACTAGACCCCCCACCACAGTTATGGATCCTGTTATCAATCTGAGGAAGATTCCTTTCCTGGCTATCTTGGAAGCTGGCGATTGGTCGATGCCTGCGCTGCAATCGAGCCAATCTTTTTGGTTGACAGGTGCTTTTTTGTTTTACAACGTCTGAACTTTGTAAAAGTAGCTAAGACAAAGTGTGCCTGTGGAGTGGCGAGTGAGGCTGCACTCATTAGGCCTCGGCTCCCCAGAGACCACGTGCCGGCTCAGGAGGAGTGGAGGTGGTTAGTGCGGAGTGGAAAGCCCTGCGCTTGCTTTTCTGCCTCCTGGCCAAGAGTTTGATGTCCATCGTGGTGCATACTGATTCAAGCACTTTTCCAAAAACCAAACACATGGCATGTTCTATGTGCTGTTAAAAAAGCCACTAGATCTGAAGCCCATACTGTATCAAACATGGATAACAACTAATTATAAAATGTTTAAACTTTTACAATTTCTCACTTAACCATGTATTGACCTTGATTCAAACTGACAGCAGCAGGAATCGGATTTAGTTCTGTTTTCTGTTTTTCTTTTTTTATGAAGATGGCCTGGTTTTTACCATGCTGTTGGTGCCGATGGGGATGTGTGTATGTGTGTGTTTCTCTCGTGTGTTTCTGCTTTTGGTGTGTGTCTACAGGGCTTTTATCAAAGAATATAAATATGCTGCTTCAAAATGTTGCCACAGCATCATTATTCCGCTTTGAAAGTCGAGAGTTAAAGGCATATTTTTATGCAATTTTAATATCCAATACAAAATACAATACAATACATTTTCTCATCACAAAGCCATTACACACAGGATGTTTTGGGGAGAAACTTGGTCTAAAATATTTTTAGGTGTGGCCGTTACAAATTTGATAATCTACAAATCTAATTAAAATCATGCCATCTTATTGTTCATGAACAAGTGTGATGGTAAAGGATCCAGAGTAAAAGGAAGTCAGTGAAATGTCCGTTGAAGTGACCTAAACCAGCGGCACGTACTGTAGGAGTGTGTATGCTTGCACTCAGTGCATGACGCATTGCTGTGAATGGGCTCATTCAGGATTCTGAGGCGTTCTTTACTAGGTCATCCTGCAGAAGACTGAGGGAGAGAGCCTGCCATGTTTAGTGCTGCTGTGCCAAGCTGCTGCATGGCACTGAGCAGATGGAGGCAGCACAAGGGCACGGACCAGTGGGAACCCCAGAGAAAGAGCACAGAAAAGACAGATAGAGAAAGAGACTGAGAACAAAACAAAAGAAACTCACAAAGAGAATGAGAAGCAGAGAGGCAGATTCCCTTTGATGAAGTGTATCTCTGCAATGCAACACTCACAGTAGTATTAAACAATGTGCCATGAGGGGCTTCATTGCCACAGCTGCCTGCAAATGTCCTCCATTCAGTCATGACTGTGTTGATTCCCTTTGGATCCAAAGAGCTAAAACAATTAAAATGCCTCAAATCATGAAACATTTTCAAGGTTTCTTCAGCTGAATCCTTTGTTTTCATCTTGGGCAGATTCCTGAAAACAACTGTCTCATTTAGATGATCAATTTGACTCCAGACAAAGCGTAAAAGCAATAACCATATCTCTTTCAGAGCCAACATAATTACAGATATGCCTTTTTTGTTTATTACGGCAGTAAATTAAGGGTTAGAATGTTATTTATTTATAAAAAGATGGGTGTATTGGTGTAGTTAGTAACTGTGTGTGTAAGTGTCAATATCTTTAGATTATATTTATTGATGTCTACATCTTAAGTTATAAATAAGACAATGTTAAACATCTCACACATTTTTCTCTGTGTTTGCAGCGTATTAGGCGGAGTCTCCACCCTGGTCTTCTGAGGAGGATTTCTTCCACGTGGACCACCACCACCTCCGCCACAGGCCTGCCGTCCATCGAGCCCGGACCCGTCCGAAGGGACCGCAGCGCCAGCATCAAACCCTTCCATGAAGCACTCACCTGCAGGTACCTGAGCTACAGCTGAATGACTGATGTCCCACTTCTCTCTCAGCCTACACTTCTCTATCCTCAGAAACACGCTTTTACTTGTGCTTCATACAGTACTATTTGTTCCTTCTATCTTCTTGCTGTATTGTGTGTAGCTCTTTAGAATAAAATCCCTAAGATGTTGTATTTCAATGCACTAATAAGGTCCTACTGTGCAACACTGCACTGTAGGTCTAACTGTGGAACAAATGATTTAAGAGGGACTCCTGCTATGGCTACCCCAGTATGACACATCCTTTTGAAGGTTAAGAGGTTTCTTCCCAGCAGTGTGGCTGTAGTTATACCAAAGACAGCGTGAGTGAACAGTAATGGCGCAGCGGAAGAGGATGTGTGTGCAATTGGAGCCAGAATGGGAATATGCCCCACAGGCGAATGCATTAACCTGAATAACTAAGAAACATCCACTCTCAGCACAGAAGTACTGATGATAGCATGAGGATCAGGCTTTACAGAACTATTATCATTCAGAAGTAGATCTGCATGCATTTGACATTATTATTTGGTGAAAGCTGTTGTGGGATGAAGAAGATTACAGGATATGTGTGAGTGATGCTGAGTGTTTGTGTGCACTTGTGTTGTTGTGTACATGAAATAATGTCTTTGTGTGGTGGGGTTTATGCTTGGATGCATTTTGTTTTTGCAAAAGCTGTTGAGAAAATCTGGTCTGGTTATTTCATGGTGTTCAGACAGGACTAATGCACATGCAGTGAGTCACCAGAAATGTCAAGACAAGACAGTCCCATATTGTTGAAAACACAACAAATATCTCTGCTCGTTTCTGCTGTTTTTGTTTGGCTAGTAAATCACATTGATGCATTCAATCTAGAATAAACACAGGGTCTTAATTTATGAGAGTCGTTATGATGATTACTGAGGAAAATATTTCAGCATCATTTACTGTGATCAGTGCAGAGATTTCATTCCTTACAATTACTTTGTAATTTTGTGACATTATGTCTGGATTATTTTAGAACAGCTTTTGTTCTGCTTTTATGAATGTCAAAGAGGTGAACAATGGAGATCCAGCCAGTGTTGGTGTGTACTTGAATATTAGTTTGTGCATAACATGTTTTTATCAGGGACTACAGATGAAAAATAGCCTTTTGGCTAACTCTGGCACATTTACAGAAATGTTCATTAATGTGCACTGTCCCTGTTAAATAAATGAATAAATAAAAAATGATGATGTGATGCTGTAGCAGACAGCACATACCCCACATCTTTAAATATTAACTGTCTCAACAAGAAAGAGTGTCTTCGTGTTTCATCTACTTTATTCAGTTTCTCCCCTGTCGAGTGTGTATCACAGGCATGAAAGTCTTCTGATGGAGAACAGCGCTTGTCTGCAAACACCGACGCTTCTGAGTCTCTGTGCTGCCATGTAGCATCACAGATGCTTGTCGAGTGCCACATAGGGGGACAGTTACACATTGTAGTTTTGCGTATTAACGTGTGTGTGTTGTTGTTCAAAGTTTATTTTCATATGTTGCAAAATAACTTTTGTCACATTTTTAAACTGGGGCTGGGGTTAAATTATTAATGTGTGGAGAGAGCTTCAGAAAGCCATGTCTGATGTCTGACTCAAACAACTCAGGAAACAGCCTTTACTGCATGGATTCAAGCTGTTCAGTTTCAACTGATGACAACCTTTATGTTGTTTAGTAGAATCAGTTGAAAGTATTATTTGAAACATGAATGACAACAATATATGTATATTGTATCTCCCTAGTATTGTATATTGTCACGGCACAAATTTCAAATAATAAAACACTAAAGTGCAAGAACACATACAACCATCTTTACAACACATGTGCAGCATTTAGAGACAATTCACCAAAACACAACATACTCAAAGCGCTGCATAAGCAAAATGATGCAAATAAAAAATGCTGCAAATACAAAACACAGTCTGAAGATCAAAACAAAAGGTGAACCTTTGCCTTTTTTGTATTATAGTATATCGTTTGGTATTGAGACATGTTTAATTCTAATACAAGCACATTTATTACCGAAATAAAAACGTATTTAGAGACTAAAATCTCATTAGCTTGGTTTTTACTACAGGCTTCATGTCTGGAACTTTAACTTTATATCAGCTCGCTCACATACTTACTCCAAGACCAGGGAGTGAACCTTTAGATACAAACTAGCCCACTGCTGTTAAATGAGGCATGACTCTGCAACTGCATGCCCTCTTCCCCACCTCATAATAATCTACAGATTCATTTTGGGTGGATAGTTTTGCGGAAATGTGATGTTTCCAGAAGAGTTGCCATATGTTTCTGTTTTGTTTGTATTTTAGAAGCATATCCAATCACAGGGCACCAGGTGTTATTGTTGACCAAATTAAGAACGGGAACTTTTTGTACTGAGTTGATACAGCTTATACTGTATAGTCAGTTACAGCTTGATGAAATTATGTCTTTCTTAAGTTTCTTCATCCAGGTTTTTCCAGTAAAAGATTCTAGCCTTTGTTTGTGTGTTGCAAAGTATTTTTTTGTTTTGAGGAGATTTATTTCATGAGGCTATTACCTGATTATGGCTGCTCCGTAAGACTTAACTGTTCCCGTAAAAACGTGACGTTCCTCTCTTCCAAGGTAATTGTTTAAGCCAAGATGTGAGAGAGACAATGCCTGAAGCTCATGGTAGATAGACACACCCTGCTCAGTTTATGGCCCTCATCTGATACCACAACATGTAGTGTTGGATGCAAATGCAATATTCCTTCCATGACAGTTTACCTTGCACATATAGTAGAAGGTGAATGATTGTCAAAATAATGTGTATGGAATACAAATAGATTCTTATGCCCACAACTGTCCTGCTCTAAGGAGTGATACAAAGTGTTTGATAAACAGTACCTAATACCCTAAATACACTATAAGGCCATTAGTATGTGGCAGTTTGAATTCCTTTATTCAAATGGAAAAACCTTAATTTTGTTAAATACAGACAGTAGTTTGCTTTCAACCTTGTGGCAACAGTTTGAGGAAAACCTCCTTTTACAGCATGGCAGACCAATGCACAGACAATGTCTGCAAATAAATGTTTTTCAGAGGAGGGATTCTGGGTTTCCCTGCACAGAGCCCTGACCTTAAACCCATCAAAGACTATTTGGATAAATTAAACCGACATAACCTTTATGGGGAGTTATCTCTCAAGACAGTGCCCAACATCAGTAAAACTTTAGTGGATGAATAGGAGCAAATCCCACTCAAAAAGCTTGTGGAAAGCTTTCCTGGTGACCTATATCGCAGCAGATTAAGTACTTTGTGCTAGTTTCCATGTACTTTTCTCCATGTATTATATGTTTTCATCCACCCAGTAATTGCATATTAAAGATGCAATGTTCCCTCTGTTTCTGTGTTTATATGATCTGGCCTGAAGTCTGCTGTAGGGGGATTTCCCCTGCATATTTTGCACATATCTGTGTGCATTTAGGACATTCTTTGCTGACCACTAAGAAAGCACATTACACAGATTCTAAAGGTTCAAGTTAGATAACTTAACACCAAACAACATTTCGAATAAGGCTTTCTTTCATTCAAGTTTCCTGAATGTTTTCTCTGAAGGCAAGTGGCATGTGACATCCATTCATTTTGAGGTAGACATTTCACTGTTTATCCATTTTGAAAAACTACATAGTAGAGAACTCATAGAAAATGATACAACTGATGACTATGGTAAATTCAACAATCAGTTTTTGATTATATTGTTCACTGCAACTTTGTGTTTACTGAGAAAAGAATAATCTGCACACTGTTTTTGTTTTGCGTCTCGAGCCATCTAACTGTGTGGGCTGCGTCTGCCAGTGGCTTGTTTGGGTGTGTTTGCACAATGACAGTGTGATACTTGAACACGTTCTGTAAATGTAAGCACACTGAGCAGCTTCTGTACACAAAGCTCCGTCGCCTGGTCTGAAAGCCCAGCACTGCACAGTAGCAGGCCCCAGCTATGGCCACTTATGGTGGTGTGAGTATAAACAAACACCTGGGCCTCTCCCCAGTCACCAGAACATCACACAGTTAACACACACACACACACACACACACACACACACACACACACACACACACACACACACACACACACACACACACACACACACACACACACACACACACACACACACACACACACACACACACACACACACACTTAGAAACACTGTCACAGCTGCTTCTTCTGGCAGGGGTTGTACAGACACAATTGGAGAGCAGAGAGAGTCTCTGGGTTTGGTTTATTGCAGCTGAGAGGGCTCTCCTCCGAGTAACACTTCATTTAAATTTAGTTTCAGGCATCTGGCTTTTTATACAGATGTCTAAAATAAAAAAGAGAGCTGGTAAAACTGAAGTGTCCAGCTTGAAAACACAAAAACAGGACTCATGTCCACTGACAACTATTTAACCTGCTGTTGTGTTAAACCTGTGATGCTACTTTAATATTAGCCACCTGCCATCACAACATCCCTCCAGTTTTGGGAAGTAGAATGGAGTTTTGTTTTAATTGATGGACTATAACTTGTATTTGCAATTAAGATCTGAAACACAGTAACATGTGATTTTTCATACAGACAAAACAAAACGCCAGTTATCATACTCGATATGTAAAGAGTGCCATTAGAAAAGTGAGAGGTTTGCGGTAGAGGGACTGAGAGTGAGAACACATGGAGGGGAGAAAATGAACACATGGATTCAATTGCCTTCTCTCTGCTCCATCATCAAATCTGTACGATCTTAATTAGGACATTAGGCTTCTTTTTTTTCTCCCTCCTTTTTCCATCTTGTCAGCTCCCAGTGACGTACATTGTTAAGAAGGAATAACACTAACTTCAAAGCTACAATATCTGCTTTTTTATCTCACACAGCCGGTAAAAAGGGGGCCGGTTGAATACCTTCCATTTCTCTCCGCCCCGGCCACTGTGCTGTTATCTTCTTCACGTCATCTGGCTTGAGAGTAGGTAGATTACTGGAAGCAGAAATAATGAGTGCTTTGTTTATCGTGGCTTGGACACTGTCCGTTCGGGCTCTGAACCAAAGTTAATCTGTCAACCTGCCGTGAGTGGTTGAGTTTAAAATCTGGGAGTTAACTGTGGCGGGAAGGGAGCGGGTTATTGCATGGCTCGAGACTATTAAGATAAGCTACATGGAAGGAGAAGGCTGAAAAAACAGACAATATAACAATTTACACAGTATTTCCTTTAGCAGGATAATTAACTTGATGAAGGTTTATTCTGGGGAATGCCTAGGTGCTTTTCCAGGAGAACAGGAGTCATTATTTACTTCAGAGAAAGACTCCAAATAGACTGCTGACAGTTAACTTTGGATGTATTTACTGTATATTTAAATAATGTGTAGACAAGAAAACCAATTCGGAACATTGCAGGATGATATTTGTGTCAGCATAAGCACAACAAAAGTAAAATCATCCTAAATCTAAAATGTTTATTTTATTTTTGGAAAAGTCTCTTTCAAGTCACTACAGGATTATAACGAAATTATTTAGAGCTAATGAAAAATCAGCTAGTCCATTGACAGAAAAAGTCATTCAGAAATACACATAGTATTTATGATTTTCTGAAATCTGAGTATTGGAACATCCCTCTTTCTGAAAATTAAATGTACGTTTTTGGCTATGTTGGTGTATTGAAATCACAAAGAAGCAATTTGAAAAGTCTTGGGATCATTTTCCGGTTTATAATCTGACACTTAATGAACCAAACGAAAATAATAAGCAGATTAAAAGATAGTGAATTATTTATCTATTATATATATCATTCCAATAACTTGTATATAGACTCGTATTGCACTATTCCACTTTTTTTCCCTCACTTTTTTAAAACTATTTTTCTTTTTGTATTACTTTTAATATAGTATATTTTAATATTGTTTTAATATTGTCTGCTTATCTGTATTATTGTGTTGCATTGTTGGAAGGCCTTTGACCTAAGATTTTCAACGACATAATTACTCTGTAGCCATGTTAGTTTGACAATAAAGAACCTTGAAGTCTCGATCATAAATTGTATTTGAATGTCTAGTCTTGAATACGTCTGAAACACCATGTACACAAACAAGCATAAAGTTGAGCAACACTGTTGAGACAATGAAAAGGAGTTTAAAAAAACTTCTTAAGATAAAAGGTGCTTTTTTCCATGTGTGCTTATCTTACCTGTAGAGATGAGGATGAAGAAGAGGAGCA